TTATACTGTTCAGTTATTAGTGCGTTAAAAACAAACGAACATGGGATATAATTAAGTATTTTATCCTTTTCTTTAAGTGGCCGTTTTTGTTCGAATTTTAAACGTTCCAATCTATTTTTGGAGGTCAATGTAATTGTTTTACTGTTATTGTAAGAGATTATTCTACTTTCAGTTTTTGGCGGAAAGTTAAAGAACAAAGTCGTTAGAATTTGATAAAGGACCGGTTTTACAATGATTATGCGACGTCGAATTGTTTGTTTGTAATGCATATATTAAATAAAATAATGTTTGTATGTATAAATTACATACATTACTTACTTAATATATTCGCCTTTTCCGTTGTATCGTTTACGGCGACGGATATATCTTATATTAAAGTGTGAAGAAGAGACGGCGTGTGTTTTGACGAAGCCGTCCTTAAACTCTCAAGACTGTGATCTGGTATTGTATAGTGTTTGAAATCGGCTTTTGATAAATTCTTCCTTTTGATTTTCAAACGGTTTGTGTTTTATGAATCTTAGCTTATTGTAAAATTTGATATTACTCTTGCCGAGTTAACGTTTTGAAAGAATTTGCCTTATTTAACATTTCATTTATACTCTCTACTGTATTACTTTTTTTTTTTGTACTTCTGTTAAGTAGTTAGTTTTGTTGTTCACAATTCTAAATATTTTAATTTTACTGCATACCGGTAAGTATTATTATTCACTATTTAATTAGACTTCCTTGGTAACCATTGTAAGTATTTAAATTGGATAATTATTTTGATACCTACTTCAGTTATTTAAAGTTATTACAGAGATTGTAATAGAATTGCAATAATTACTGCATATGATGTAGGATTTGTGAATGAGCACCATATCATAATACTGGAAAAAAGTGCCTTTTGTTAGATTCATTGATAACTAGACTATTTTAACTTAAATCTGTCAACTGATATGTTGGTTAGGTAAGGTTTTTAATACAGTTGAAACAATGATATTCAATAATCATAAAAACGCCTTGGTTGTGTTAAAGTATACCAATTTGACTTCATTTACTTAAACTTTAAGACTATTCAGTAGAAATTATGTTTGTTGAACTTTGAACCTTTTGTTTTATTAACCCAGCATTTAGTTTAACTGGGTATTTTAATTTTTATCGCCACCCCGGAAAAGCAGTATTTTTCTTCTATTGTTTCAATACATAAAATGAAAGAATAATGAGATATATACTGTATATTGTATATTGTATAAACCTATTTATAGAGTTAACTAAGAACATATCTAAGAACCTAACCAATAGTACTGAGTTCGACCCTTTATATCACCACACTGTTAAAAATACATAAAACATATCAAATAAATATGTTTTGTTAAAAACTCTATAAATTCATTGATTGTAGTAATATTTTGTAGTAAGGAATTTCAATAAATTACTTATTAAATAAAAAGGAAATTACTTATTATTTTGTTTATAATAAATATTGTTATATTCCATAGCAACAGATGTTGTTATTTATAAATAGTTTCAACTATTTAGTAGTAAAATTAAAATACTTTTTTTTTAATTAAAATACTTAAAATTACATTTATTATAAATTTGATTGCTGTCATATATACAATTCCTGTATTCAATATATTCTAAAAGGCTAAGTAAGAGGCATGATAGTATAAATAGTACTCCATATATTATAATGATTCAATCGTTGTATTAGGTCATCGGCTATAATTTGTTAATGTTTTTTTTTAAATTTTTTATGTGTGTTATTCGAGTTATTATTTATTTTATTACATAGTTTAATATATTCATGTGGTATGGATGATACAAATGGTATACATGTTGAGAACCCAGTTTTAATGGATACCGAGCCAATTTTTGTAATGATACACCTAAAGTGAAATATTTTATTAATAAATTCATAGCAGTGGTTAGGGGTAGTCTTTATGAAGCAGATTTACGTACGATGAAATGTACTTCAATTTTTTTGGCCATTTATGTAAGTTAATAATTTATAATATTCCTTTTGAAAAAAATTTGCCAGGGAAATGACAATGAAATTTTTAATTATTACAAAAGCATCGAGTTTGCTTTTATCAAAAATAATTAACAATCAATTTAAGTATTGTTTGATGTAAACACTTAAAAAAAAGTACTGAAAAATTCATTAGGCTTAAAAATCCTGGCAATCAGTATTTTTTTTATTGTTTTGTGATGGTTTGTAATTTCAAAGTCCTTCTCATGATTTTAATTGGTTTATTTCTATATAATGTTTACCGACTATCTGAATTCTGATTTATCTTTTCTATAGCACAATAGGTTTCTTGTAAAATTTTCCAAATGATACGAATACACAACCAATTGGATATTACAAAATGGATCAACGAACATTAATATAAAAAATGAAATATTAAATTTAACATTGTTAGTATAACAATTCCTAGTGTATACTTAATTAGTAAATTATTTTATCATTTTAGTAACAATAACCAGGTATTGAAACATATGTATTATTATAAACCTTCTTTTGTAAATCCATTTTGGTAATTTCCGATTATGTCCTTTGAGCATAAAACTAGTTTAATCTGACAAATAAAGATCACGCAGTAAAAGAACGAAATAACACCTAGAAAACACTCTTATTCGAGCTGAAATGTACATAGGTTGTCAACTAGAGCTTTGTCTGGGTTATTTAATTTGTTTTATGATTTAAGTTTTTTTAGTAACAGGAGAGTCCATACCTGGCTTCGCGTTGCCACGAATGACCGTCGCATTTGTTGCATCTACAACCTTATTTATATTTGAAATAATCGGCTGCTGATACTATTCATAAGTACATTAACAATGATAAAAGCAATTTAACAAAAACAAAACAAAATATTCTTTATTCTTTGACCGTTCTTATAAGCAGTAGGCATTGCAAAAATCAGAAGGATGCATTTTTAAATGTATAGGTTTTTTTTACATTTTTTGAAATTAATACATTATTTTTATTTTTATGTTGAATTTTTGGTCACCCATTTGAAAAAAAAATATAAATATATGGATTTGCACCTTTCGTGGTTAACTTAAAACAGTATAAATGTATATCAATTTATCTATTTTATAAAATATGCTCGTGAATAAATAAGTAATAAGTTTATACAACAATAAAATAATTTAGGTATTTGGTGTGCATTGGAATGTAATTATTATTATATAATAATTGCCCAGATCTAAAAACTTAACTCCAAGACATTTTATTTAACCTTTCGTCATTCTGTGCTCTTTAAGCGTTTTTATAAGCACTGCCGGACACTTTTTTAAAAATATTTTTTGGCCCCGACACCGAGGACTACCCGCCCGAACCGGGGGTCTGGTTAGGTTAGCTAGATCGAAGCTATAGTTACATCTTATAATATCTGATGCTACTACATATGGCTTTATTAAACCAGCAAAAACAAACAAAATTCAGTATATTATACAAAAGGTTATACGAGTTAACAGTAAGATAAACTAAATAGTTCAAACTGTAGTTTAGAAAAATAGATAAATAAGTAAATTTACATAAATAGATAACATGACAATAATTGTGACAACAAAAGGTGAGGATTGTTTTAACTCTTTCTAGTATTCTGTTGGTATGCATCCTCCACCGTAGATCAGATGGTAAGATACTTTATAGCACTGGTAGCCATTGGACTTGAGTACTCTTCATTGATAATTTCTAATGAGAAATGTTTATGACAGATGGGCGCATATTCTAAAGAACTGTAATTATTCCAACCTCTTCAACAGTCAAGTATCTTGGCATTACACTTGATAAAAGACTAACCTGTCGTCCCCATCTTTAATCAAAGAGACGAGTTCTCAACAGCCGATTACACTAACTTCAACCAATTGTGAAATCAAAACTCTCAATACACACAACACCCATCATGCACAAATCCTATTAAAAATCCCTATTGACACCTATTTATACTTATGCAATTCAAACTTGAGGCTGTGCCAAGTCAGCCGAAATTCCAACTATTCAAGTCTCTTAGTCAATCACCCTCAACATGATGACACATAAATGACCCTATGCACTCTTGTTTGAATCCAAATCCACTGTCCACACCGACATTACAATTGATACCATCCACTAACTAGATCCTACTTATTTTATTTTGCTAGTAACATGGGTAGTAAAACATGTTTCTTTTATAATAAACAAATAACAATAAATAATATACTATGTATACTTATGTTAATCTGGCTGTCAATTTGATTTTAATTTCAAATACAACCTTTTGTGTAGGTAGGTATTTATATTGTTGGTTAATCTATGTTAAAAATAAGATCACCGTGTACTTGACATCATGGTCAAAATATTTTATTTAGATCAAACATTGGCATGGAATCGATTTTTGTGTGGGAATTTAAACATAAAATGTAGAAAAATATATATTTTCTTTTAATATTCGCTACGTGAAAAGATATTTTAATACAATTTTATCCTGCATTATACAGTACAGGTTTAGCACAACGGAACGCCCTAAAGAGTTGGGAAAAAAAGGTTGTAAGTCAAGTGCAAATTCGATTTTCTTTTACACACTTTACATTGGCTCATTGCTGGTGTACATTCATCTGGGATCGTGTATTGTCAGCCACTAGACATACAATACTAGAGATGGTATTATATACCAATTGCACACAATGCAGCTCACAAGCAGTGTAATAACGTGGTGTATTCAATAGCAACGTTGAACGAGACCGCTCTCATAGGATACCTATTTAAAGGCCTAAAAGCACTCACAAAATATTAAGTTTATTGAACTTATTCGACAATAATATATACTACTAGGCTTTGGTTTTTGGTAGCCACTATAAAACGTGTAATTATATCTACAGTATTAACGCACTATGTATGCGCATTAAACAACAACTGTTTACTTTGTTTGAAAAAAATAATTAATAAGAACAATTTTGACAAGTTTCGGCGTTCACTGTTTGAATAGCTGTTAGTTAAAAAATATTTTACCTAAGTGTTTTTTTTTTTAAATTGTACACTGTAGTAGTTCTCTTTAGAAACTCACTCTCTTAAAGACTTTAGCATTGGTCCTTTGTTGAAAATTTTAACTATAACGATAATTTTCAATTAAAAACATTATGATCCAGTTAAGATTCGTGTTATATTTTGTTTTTGCAATATTAACAATCGTGCACCATGGTAAGTCGCACTGTTTGATATAGTCATTATGACAAGCACAGGTAGAATACAGAAGTCTCTTTCATTGACAGGCTAACTATAATATATTTTTTAATTTTAACAATTTTTTTGGTTTTTTGCTGCACGATGCTCGATCATAATTTCTACCCTATTTATATTTTTCTCTGCATCATTTAATTCGCTAAATTAAAATAATTATAAATTATCTGCTATCGGACAATATAGGCAAAATCGTATGGTAGCACACAAGAGCGGTGTTGCCAAACTTCTAGGACACGTATCAAAAGTGTTTTTTTAAACATATGTTATTTTTGTATTTCTTTAAGACGTGGCAGCAAATAGCAGCAGCTCGGAAGAAGCAATTGAAAGTAAAGTAAGTAATCGATAATCTTAACGCGAATGTTATAGTGATATTATACAACGTAAATTTATTAGGAATATGATGAATAGGTATGTAAAGGCCCGTTGGCGTTTATTTTATAAAAACAAAATTAAAAAAAAAAAAGAAATATTGAAAATAGATACCAAGGTAGAAATTACTTTTGAACATTTGTTTTATTAAATTAACGTATAATCACTTATTTAAAAAAACAGTATTCAATGTTAGATATTAATTTTAAAAAAATGTGAATAGTAAAAGATTACTACAACGTAAAATAGTTAAATGCATCTTTTAAATCTCCAATCAATAAACGAGTGTAAAAATAGTACTTACATAATCAATTTTACCTTGAAAAATTATATCGTATCTTAAAAATTGCCTATCTTCCTATAATTCACAAAAAGTGTTTCAATTTTTTTGTCATGAGATATAAATGTGGCCAAATAATAAAAAAATCCTATTCTATTATAACATTAACAATCTAAGTAGTGCTCAGTAAAAATATATTTATTTATTTTCTGTAAACAATATTGTAATATTTATTTTTATAAATGATATTTACAGAGCAAATTTTATGTATATGATATAAATGTTTAATTGATTGTAAAAAATAACTCACGTGCAACTTTTCAATTGTATTTTTTTTTATATATAAAGGACAGGCGTTTCATCAACGAAGCTTGCAATGACTTGTCCACCTGTCTGGAGGAAAAAAATTTACATCTATTATCTTCCTGGTTCAGTAATTACCATTTATTTTATTCTTATATTTTAAATTAACATAATTTTTAACTCGACAACTATAATAACAGACGCTGAAGCAATTAAATGATAGATTTTGGGAGGGAGCTTGCCTATCACAACAATGTCAGTAGAGTATTAAGCTAAGCTGCTATTTTATTTAGTTTATATTACATTTCTTAATATTACAACCAATAATATTCCCAACAAATTTGGTACTAATCAGACTATTTTTTTTTTAAAAAAAAAGAACATAGTAATTTTAAATTAAAAAATTTGTAATTTTTTGGAGTTTTTTTCTCGATTTTATAGGGAAAGGGCAGATTTTTTTTAATGTTTGGCCTAATAAAGTAGGTACCCAACAGTTACGGTTTCTGATCTATAGAGTTGCTGTCATGTTGTATAGGCGATAAAGTCAACAATAACATACACAAATGTGTTTACAAATAATATAATCTTTATGCTTTCCATGTATTTCAAGTGCTGGGCGTCTCGATTTTTCCACTGACGTACGAAATACTACAATTGGAAAAGAAAACAAAAAAAGCCTTAGATGAAAAAAAACGGAAAGGGATACGTCAATTGTGTCCTGACGTTATGAAAGACGAAGACTTTGATGTGGTAAAATACCGACAAAATTGTCGAGATTGGGCTGACGAATGTTTTAAAGAGTATGTATTGGATATCATACATCCCAATCGCAAAGGTCGATCGCCCGAAAAACCACTTGTTGACCAGGCGGGTGACGTGGTGGACGGAGAGGGCGAAAAGATTTATTATAAATGGGAATTCTTCCCAGGCGCTGGAAGCGATTTATTTACAAAAGAAACACCGGAAGCAACATCTTCAGCTCATCCTACTAGAATTGTTCCCGTTAGAAGACGTCGATAACAATTTCTCACCCTCGTTCGCATATTTTATGTAAAATCAATTGCACCGACCCTAAAAATGTTGCACTCCTGAATTAAAAAAAAAATCTATAATAATTAAGTATTCACTGGGTTTTGAATGAGAATATAATTGCACTTATAAAACATGAATACTGCACACCTGAAATTTAAAATAAATAACCAAATTTCGGAACACACTGCAATATCATAATTGATATTTTTACATTTAATGTACTTAAATTGCTATATTCTACACACACACTATAGTATTATTGTTCTTTATTATTTTTATTGTATTATGAGTTTTATATTATTATAGTGTTACCATTTAATGTTATATTTCTTGAACTTTGTTATAATATCATATTATCGTTCGCCATTATATTTTATGCACTTTGCAAACATTGTATTTTTATTAAATATTATATTATAACGTGTGTAGCCACAAGACATTTGAAATTATAATAGCTGTGATTGATAAATATCCCTCCAAAATGTGAATCTGTAGATGGTAGCAATATTAAATAACGATCGAAATAATTGTAAAGGCAATAATGCGGTCGGACAAATATATTTTATACTGTTCAGTTATTAATGCATTAAAAACAAACGAACATGGTATAAAGTTAGGTATTATAATACTATGTATTATTACAAATTCGTATAGCGTCTTATACAACTACATCAATGTGTCGTTAAATCAGAAATAGTGTAGGGATTTGATGAAATTGGATAGATATTTATTAAAAAAACGTATAAAAAGATCGAGTGAAAAAAAAAACCATAAAATAATCTATTAGCAATTGTTAATTAAATAATTATTTTGAAAATTTAAAAAATATTTTGTATTTTATATCTTTAACATTGCTACCCATGGACATACATCATTCGAGTAGTACCTCAAATTACCCGAAATCGTATGCGATTGGTACTTTGGTGAGTCAAAAGCTGAAAAATCGATTTATTCGACCACAAAACCGGAAAACCCGATAAAATATTTGCCGGTTTTCCACCTTCAAATTGAATTGCCATAACGGTGACAATATTTTTATCGAATAATTAAAATTCATGCCTCTATCCCGAAATTATGGTCTCATATTAACGCACTATGTTTGCCCGGTAAACAGCAGTTGTCACATTGTAAGAATAATGTAAGTAATAAGACAATTTTCGACTACAGCTAACGGCGTCCCCTTGTTTGAATAGCTGTCATTGTAATAAATTCTAGACTTTAATTATTTTACTTGCGCTGTTACAAAAATTGTACACCGTTGCAGCCGCCAAAGAATACACAACTGAAGTTTTTATCGTTGCTCATTTGCTAAAACGTTTTACTCATAACAAGTAGTTTCCAATTAATATATTATCACTATGATCGATTTAAAATTCGTATTGTGTTTTGTCTTTGTGATTATTTTCACAATCCTACACTCGGGTAAGTCGCACTGTATGATATTAACGTTATGACAAGCACAGGCAGAACACACGTTAGTGTCTTTCATCGACTGTCCTATTATATTATATTTTATCTTCTCTTCTTCTTGGGTTTATTGGGCCTTTAAGACCATTCCGTCTCACAACCAAGCTTCCATCCTTCTCTGTCCAACGCTAGATTTCTCCAATCGGAACCACCTCCCCCATCTGTTCGACACCCTTTTTTATAACATCCTCCCAGCGCATTCTTGGTCTTCCCAAAGGTCTTTTACCTACAGAATTTTGTTCAATCACTGCACGTAGTAGCGGATTTTGGTTCCTCCAAGCATCTGGCCAGCCCACCGTAGTCTTCTTCTTCTGTAACCTTCAATATATCCAAACCACTATATAATGTTTCCAGCTCTATCTTCTTTCTTCGTCTCCACTCCCCAGTTATTTCGTCCCTGACTGGCCCATACATTTTCCGCAACACTTTTCTTTCAAAGTCAATGAATCTGTTTTCGTCCATTTTTCTAAGTGGCCATGTTTCTGATCCATAACCGGTCGTATCAGGGACGTATATAATTGCTCTTTCATTCTTCGCGATATTGCTCGTGAAATTAGTACCTTAGTAAGTCCATAGTAACATTCATTCCCAGCTTGAATTCTCGCTGCTACCTCGTTTGCTACATTATTTTTTTCCGTCAAAATAGTACCGAAGTATTTGAACTGTTCAACCCTTTTAAATTCATAGTGATCTATCTTTATGGACTGACAAAAAGGTAGCCCTCGTCTACTCAAAAACATATACTCCGTTTTTTCTTCGCTTACGTATAGCCCTACTTTTGTTGCTGCTTTATACAGTCTACTGAATAATATCTCCAACCTATCTTGAGATTCTTCCATCAATACTACGTCGTCTACATAAGCTAATAGACCTACCGTCGTGTCTTATTATATTTTATACATTTTACAATTATTTGGTTCATAGCTAAACTTAATCTTAAACATCTTAATCTATATCTTTCTGCGCATCATTTAATTGGCTAAATTAAAATAACTGTAAATTATCTACAAACTGCAACACCATGTTAAGGTAGCCTACGTGAGCGTCGTTGCCAAACTTCTAGGACACGTATTAAAATACCAAACGGCCAAAACGTTTTTTTTTACAACATGTGTTATTTTTGTGTTCGTTTAGGCGAGGCAATCAGTGGTACCAGTTCGAGTGATGATACGGAAGCGACAGTAATCGATGACGCTATTTGCCTATCCGAATCCGAATCGGACAACAAATCCGGCAAAGTATTAAATACCATACACATAGATATGCACTTTAATAATTTATTATAACGTTTTAATATAATCAAACAAAGTAGTCATTTGAATACAGTATTTAATTTTCGGTTAAGCATGTTTTAGTGCCTATGAAGTATTAACAAACAAATATATTGGACAATAATAATATACACTATATTATTGTGTAATGATATTATAACGTCTTATACGATATTATTACATCAATATGTCATTAAAACGGAAATAGTGACGGTTAGTAGGGTACGATGATTAAATAAAAAAATAAAAATTGATCTTCAATAACTTGACGCGGTCGTGTGTGGGCGCAACTCACGGGTTGGGGTTAAGTCAATAAGTTCAACACGGGGTTGCGGCGTAAACACTGTTTATTGTTCGACCACGCAATATATAAAATAGGTTTAAAATTTAAGTTTACAAAAACGCGGACGGATCCGGAATGATCGAACTAGCGGGCTAGTCGTGGGGGGGTCGCTAGAAGTTAAGTCGGGATAAGGCGTCGAATTAATTCTAGGTGATACGAGGGCGGACGGAATACGTTGGGAAAACGGTAAGTCGTCGGTCGCGCGTCGTATCGGGAAGTAATTAGCTACCCATTATATTCGCCGCGCTATGCCGGCGTCCGAACTGGACTTTGCACCCTAGGTAGAGAGTGGTGGTCAGCCAGTCAGTTCGTGTCTGCCGGACGGATTGTGGCGGTAAAGTGTCGCGGCCCGTGGCATATCACTAATAGTGCGCCGCAGTGCGCGGCGTCCTATTAGTAATATGTATCACGGGCCGTGTCAACCCTCCCCCGCCAAGCCGTCAATCCGTCGGGTAGTGGTGTAGCTAACAGGGCCGAGAAGGATTAGTCCCTTATCAACTCGCCCTCAGGACCTATTGTAAGGTACCGATGGCGGACTACGGTATGGCGGATCGCCCTACAGTGGCTTGTCGATAGGGCTAGTAGGACAGGACTGGAAGTCTTCCGGTTCGGTGTCCGTCTTCGTCCAGTCCATTTCGGCCATCTCCTCGAGCTCCTGCTCCAGCGATGGGGTTTCCTCTTCCGCTGGGACAGTGGGTTGCGGGTCGACGGCGGCCTCCACCGGGGTGACCTCGGGGTGGATCGGGTCGCTCGTCGGCTGTTCCTCGGCGCGCACGTCTCTAGATGGCCCGGCGTCCCCATGGTCCGGTTTTTCCAGTCTAAACTGCTGCGAGGTAAATGGTGTCGGCTTCTGGGGTTGAGCTGTCTGCTCCTTCTTCGCCTGACGGAATGCCCGGAGACGGAGAGCCGACTTTCGCTTCGCCGAAGGGGTTCTGGTTTTTTTCGGGACGGTCCCCTTTGCCCTGGGAGGTCCCGCCGTCGCTGGCTTTCCGCTGCCGACAAAACGCACCGTCTTTCCCACCTGGACGGTCGTCGGTCGATGGAACGGGCGTACCGGAGGAGTTGGCATCCTGGACGCCACCTGCGGTGCTGCCGACCGTGGTGGTAGCTGGTGGAGAGGAGCCGTCGACCTGGGCTGTGGTGCCCTAGGTTGCCCGTAGTTGGGCCCGGCTTGGAGTTGCCGATGTGGCCCCGTTGTCACCGGCGGACCGACCGGTATCTGATTACCGATGGGGGTCGTGGCCAGAAGGGCAATGCAGTCCCGCCAGCCACGTGAGTAGAGGGCCCACGCGACTGGGTCTCTCCGAATGACGTCGGGGGAGGCGTTATTGGCCTCGTCAGCGGTGTTGAATGCATGGCTGGGAAAGCGCACCCCTCTGCTGCTCAGCATCCGCTGCATCGCCATTACTTGGTCTGCTAGTCCTTGTAGCAAGGTTTGGTCGGCGCTCGGCTGTCGGCTGCTGGCCATGATGCGCTGAAACAAAGGGGGGAAAAAAAAGAACAGAAATGGGGGGGACAAACACGATATAATTAGTAACAACAATAAGCAACATAATTACGTTTGTTATACTTCCCGTGTCGGTCAAGTATCGCTAGTTTCTTTCGTGTGTATATCGGTGGTAGCGGAGGGTTTCATGCATGATACATGGAGTTTCTTTGGTGGGCGTTGATCGGTTAGGTATATTCCCCTTCCAATCTTCTTCGCCAACCTCACCGGACCTGACCATTTGGGTGCAAATCCGGCGTGAAATCCTTTATCGGCATTTGAAAGGGGGTGCGCCTTGTGATACACCCAATCGCCCACTTTGAATTTTGAGTTCTCAGGGGTTATTGGGGACCCTTCTGATTTCAGAAGATTCATGGCCACTCTTTCGCGGCTCCGACGCTCTTCGTCAAATTGTTCGATTGGGACAGTCGATTGAAGGTTTAGGACCCAATCGCC